TATTCCTTGGGGGCTAACATTCTATTATCCTTGAATTGTAAAGCAGAGGATATATGCCAAATGAATGGCGAGCCCAAGAGGTGTGATGAGTATTAACCTCTGAATCCTCAATTGCTCCGTCTGCAAAATGGGGATTCTATCCTCACCTCCCTGTTGCAGGAGGATAAGTGAGATGCTGTGCGAGAAGGCGGTGGCTCCAAGACATCTGCATTCTGGAGTCTCTCCTGTTCCCTTGACTGATGTGGCACTGGCAGAACAGGGAGAAGATAATTCCAGCGTGCAGGGTCTGGAAAGAGGGGCCAGCCCAAGGTCGCATCGGAAATGAGAGGCTTTGGGAAAGAGGGAGGACACCTCCAGGTCTGGATGGCCACCCTCCGCCAGTGCTTCATGCCCTTGACGTGATACTTCATCTCCATTTAGGAGGATTCAAAGATGTGCCACTCATTCTCAATGTGACTTTCTAGGTCAAAGCTGAAAATATCTCTTCCATAATAAGGGGAAACCTGACGCTGTCCGTTTACTCTCTATTAAGGACCCTACAGGCCAGCAATCGATTTTTAAAATAATAGAAGTGAAGAGGAGCACGTTTTAACCGACACATCCTGCTGCCATGTCAAGGAGCTCAGGGACGGTGTCTGGAGAAAAGCTTGTTAAAGAGCCCGGCTCTGCCATTTTACACCTGTATGGCCCTGCAAAGTGTCTACCTTCTCAATACCTCAGTTTTCTCGTCTGTACAGTGAGAGTAATCCTAATGCCCGTCTCTCAAGGTTGGGTGAGAAGTAAATGAAATACTGTGGGTAAAGTGTACGTGGAAGGTGTAGCAGACACTGTCAGTGCCCAGCGCATGTTCTGTGTGTCTACAATTTCACAGCAGCAACAACAATAACAATGACTGCTACTACTATTACTATTATTGTTGTTTGTAGATATTGGGACCTTGATCTTATCAGAAAGGGTGGTCGTAGGGGACCCACGCATGGGAGCCTTTAAGGTAAAGTATAAAGGCCATAGGAAAGGCAGTCTGCCCCTTTCTCAAGAACTGCAAAGGGTACAATTTGGGGTGCAGTGGGAGGCCTTTGGCTTACTGCAGTGGGCCGCTATGGGCCCAGCTTGGTGGGGGTTGCCGAAGAGCTTGACCTGGCCCCACTTCCCACTGCCAGCACCTGCATCTCTTTGCCTGAGGGCTTTCTCTGGGGTCCTGGAGCCTGCTCTGCTCACATGCATGACAGGCCAAAAGTGTCAAGAAATTAACACCTCCCAGGAGGAGCTCTAGTGGCACAGTGGATAAGAGCTATGGCTGCTAACCAAAAGGCTGGCAATTTGAGTCCACCAGCTGTTCCTTGGAAACCCTATGGGGCGGTTCTACTCTGTCCCGTAGGGTCGCTCTGAGTTGGAATTGACTCGAGGGCAACAGGTCTGGTCTG